AACCCGGGCATGTGACCTTGACCAGAATCGAACCCGGGGCCCTTCAGTCCACAGGCTGACGCTCTATCCACTGAGCCAAAATGGCTAGGGCCAGTCTGCTATATTTAAACTATAGTGGGAAAGGCAAGAAATGAAACTACCTCCTATGGAAAATTTAAGACTAGAGTTAATGAGAAGCTAATTTAAGATCTCCAGCCAACTCCAGATCAGTAAGTCCCAGAGGAGTTTCAGGCTAAATAATTCCTGAAGCAAAAGTGGAATTTTGCCCTAATATAGCGGGTGCAGCTATACATCCTGGGGGAGGTGGGGAGAGAGAGAAAGAGAGAGAGAGAGAGAGGAGAGAGAGGGGAGAGAGAGAGAGAGAGATCAGAAAGCGACTGGGCTAGAAGGACGCTGGCCTGGAGGCAGAGCAAGGAGTCCTGTGAAGGGGTGAAGGGACTTACTGGGAAAGGCTCCTGCCAGGTTGCTCCCACGATGGAGGGCCTCACGATGGCAATGTTTAGGTTGCCGCCCTCCTGGTGCACCACCATCTCCCCCAAGGCCTTGGTGTAGGTATACGTATTGGGCCGATCCCCAATCAGCTTGGGCGTGATCTCATCAATAATAGCATCATCTAACCACCTAAAGTTAGTCCGAGGAAAAAAGAATTCCAGCAACAAATGTTACACAATAGACCGAAAAACACTGTGAGCCACAGACAATCAAATAAAACGTCCATGTTCTAGCTTGAGTTCTGGAATTGAGAACAGTCACTAGAGAGTGAGGCTGAGTGGGAACCTGTCCAAATCATGTACAATGGCTGAGCCCAATCTCACCAGGTGAATCCTACCTCCTCCCACCTAGATGGACAGGTTTAACAGCTATGAAATCTACCTTATTGCAAACTAGAGGCCCGGTGCATGAAATTCGTGCACAGGGGTGGGGAGAGGTACCTTAGCCTGGCCTGCACCCTCTCGCAATCTGGGACCACTGGCTCCTAACTGCTGACCTGCCTGCCTGCCTGATCACCCCTAACCACTCTGGCTGACTGCTTGATCTCCCCTAGCCACTCGCCTGCCTGCCTGATCACCCCCAACCACCTCTGGCTGCCTACCTGATTGCTCCCAACTGCCTCTGCCTGCCTGATTGCCCCTAACCACTCACCTGACTGCCTGACCGCCCCTAACTGCTCCCCTGCTTGCCTGATCACCCCTAACTGCCTCTGCCTTGGCCCCCGCCACAGCGGCTTAGTCCGGAAGGACGTCCAGAATGACGTCTGGAAGGTTGTTTGGCTATCTGGTCTAATTAGCATATTACACTTTTATTAGTATAAATAATCTCTATCTTCAATGACTTTCTCTCCAACAGGGTCAGAAGTATATGTTCATGGAACACGTTTGTGAATGCCAATCATGAGCCCAGGAGCATGCTGGGTGCATTTGTGGCTTTTAAAGGCTCTCTCGTCTAAGGTGCTTCTGTGGCCACCCCACTCAGTCATTGCCATCCAGTTAAAACCCAATGCACCAACCAATCTTGCAAATTTCAGCTTTTAATTTTTAAAATTCCATTCAATGCCTCAACAAATGAAAGCAACTACCAGTACTTACAGTAGACTTACAATCTATTTTAGCAAATCTATGAAAATATTTTAAAGGTCTGTTTAGAGTCTATGTTAATAACTTGGTAATTATTTCCAGAGATTTCCAATGAATTCTGAAAGGCCTTAATAACTACTAATAGTCTACCACATAGAGTGGTTACAGTACTCTGAAGCAGTGGTAATAGTGATTATGGAACACTTCTACTTACAACAAGACATGTATCATAAACAACTGAGTTACCATGGCATCATCCTTATCTTTTATTTAAAGGTGTCAGAACCATTTTTTATAATCTTAAAGTCTACTGCAGTTCTTGAAAGAGCAATACAATTATTGTCAATTAAATACTTAATGTTTCTCTTTGCTGGCAGACCTATTTGCTCAAACTTTTGCTATAATATAGTTTTTAAAAATTAGATTTCTTAACTGTGTTAGTATGATTTGATGCATTTATTCCTGTCTTATAAAACTGAGCTCAGTCATACTATTTTGATTGCAGAAAAATCTTAGCTGTTACCACTTTGCTCCCATTGCATACTGGTGAGCAGTTAAGATGTATTTATGCCAGGACTTGTTCAGAAACTCCACTCTCCATTTTAACACCTCTCCCTTGATGTTCGAGTGGAACATGAGCAGTGTCTATGATGTTTGGTTTTTCACTTTGCTGCTATTTATTAGTGCTGAATGCTTTCTAGATATTCACATCCCTTTTGTTTAAATCGAATAGGGAAAGTTTGAGAAGTTCCTAGAATTAAAAAGCTGTGGTACACTTACTAGTACACTATGGAATATTATGCAGCTATATAAAAAAAAACTGTATCTTACCCTTTGAGACAGCATGGAGGGACCTGGAGAGTATTACACTAAGTGAAATAAGCCAGTCAGAGAAAGACAAGTATCACATGATCTTATTTATATGTGGAATCTAATGAACAAAATAAACTGATGAACAAAATTCACATGATCTTATTTATATGTGGAATCTAATGAACAAAATAAACTGATGAACAAAATAGATCCAGAGACATTGAAGCATGGAACAGACTGATGAAACTCAGAGGGAAGGGGGGTGGAGGTGGGCAGGAAGAGATTAAAGAACTTACATGCATATATGCATAACTCATGGACAGATGATAGAGCAGTGAAAGCATGGGGAGGGTAAGTTGGAGGGGGCCAATGGGGGGGAAAAGGCTGCGAAGAAAAACCATTCTAAGAAAACTGCAGACCCAACCACACACTAGGAGTGTATGTCACGTGCTGGCACCAGCTACTGTCCTGACGTTGGTCTGCACCGAAAGGGCATGCTTAGAGGCTTTATCAAGTTGGGTGAGCTAGCTTCTTAGAAAATGTTGGTTTCATAGGTTTCTAAGAACACAAACGCAAGAGAAGGTATAGTGTTCTGTAGATGGCCTCCCTCTACCATTCGTAGCTCCACCTGTATTTTGTCATATTATCCTCTCATTTCCCCCATTTTCACTTGTAAAAATGGCAATGATTACATCTGTTCTAAATGTTTAGGTTATGATGAGGACCAACAGAAATAGTCACAACTGCACTTAAAGCTTTTTGATAAAACAAAATGAGCCCATCAACCTAAGGCATTCTTAATTTTGGTGAAGCAACCAAGGAGCATAAATCTACAGAGGCAGTCACTGGTTTCAAATTAATCTTTTCTAACGCAGCCAAACAGGCCATTGTTTCACCCAGCCACTTCCCGAGTTCACAGAGAGGAGCGTAACAAGTATGTACATCCCTGATGGGTGTACAATCAGTTCATGCTCTTCTTTACCCAACTTTGATTTGCTGCTGTGGTTTGTTCTCCATTCATTTTCAAAACAGCATATAAGTTAGCATGGAAACCAAAAGGTATTTCTGAAATTAACCCAATGTCCTTTGGCACACTCAAGAAGGCATTTTGAACCCACTGGTCCCAAATTCTAAATTACTTAAATTGATTAGAAAGAAGTTAAAAGTTATTAAAGATTTCAGAAAGCAATGTGTGTGTGTGTGTGTGTGTGTGTGTGTGTGTGTGTGTGTGTGTATACATGCCCACAATTTCCTCTAAATATTACTTACCTTTCTGGTTTAAAACTTATTGAATCAACCTCTTAATATCATTCATCTATACTAATAAAAGCCTAGGTGATCCTTGCACCCTCTCACAATGCCCTCATGTCATTACAAGATGGCCACCACAAGATGGCCGGCAGGGGAGGGCAGTTGTGGGCGACCAGGCTGTCAGGGGAAGGTAGTTGGGGGCAACCAGGCCTGCAGGGGAGGGCAGTTGGGGGTGACCAGGCCTGCAGGGAAGGACAGTTGGGGGCACAGGCCAGCAAGATAGGGCAGTTGGGGGCAACCAGGCCTGCAGGGGAGGGCAGTTGGGGGTGACCAGGCCTGCAGGGAAGGACAGTTGGGGGCACAGGCCAGCAAGATAGGGCAGTTGGGGGCAACCAGGCCTGCAGGGGAGGGCAGTTGGGGGTGACCAGGCCTGCAGGGAAGGACAGTTGGGGGCACAGGCCAGCAAGATAGGGCAGTTGGGGGCAACCAGGCCTGCAGGGGAGGGCAGTTGGGGG